GTCCAGACGGCTGGAGGTACATTTTTGCTGCAACTGTCATGTTTATGAAGATCTACGCTACCCTGAAGTATTTTGCAAAATCACTGAAGAGCGTATTTAAAAATCAGAGTAAATGTAACCCATTTATAGGACACCGTATGCATCCGCTGTGACCTGAACTACCTGCCTGGAGTCCAGAGGATTTCCCCTTTTCTGAGTGCAGGGGTGCTCTTTAAAATCTGAAAGATAGTAATTAGTACTTCCCTATGATTAGTAGTACTATGAACTTTTGCAAATGCCTGGTGCCTTCTGCATTTACATCATTTTAGTATCTGAGCACGTATGCCTCTTAAATATTTTAAGTATCATAGGAGCCCACAGGGTAGGTTGATGTTCCCATCCATCTTGCAAGATGTAAAGTGATTTTCCCAAGGTGATGCAAGTATTGCAGCAGTAATGCATCCAGAAATGGAGCTCATTGCCATGGATTTCAGGCCATTTTCTTTAAAAAAGTCTCTCTGATCTTAATTTGTCTGATACAACCCACTTTAGGGTGTTAAGATTGTGATTATTCAGGGCCAGACCTTGCGTGGTCCATATATACAGTGTAAACAGAGTTGTTCTGCTAAACAAAATTACTCACTTTCACAGAACTCAAAACTGGAAGAAACTGTTACAAACCACTTTCTGCCTCCCCACTGCAAGGTATATTGCGTGTCAGCAACTAGCTCTCTGTGGGGCCCAGTGACTTGTGCTTCACAAAAAGCACCTCTGTCAGAGAGGATCCAGCCTTCATCTGAAAACCAAGAAATTGATAATGTGCTGCCATCCACAGCCCTTTGCTGCGGGGAGCGGTCACTCTGACTGCTTCCGTACTTGCTGCTTTCTCATCAGAGTTTGTCTGGCTGTGTCTTACGTTAATTCACCAAATGCCTGTTTCTGCTGGATTAACAGACCCTGAGTCCTCACCATCATTTCCCTGTAAAGGTTTGTATGTTGTGCAGGCAGGCCACCCCTCAGATAGACTTCAGGGCTCATGGACCAGACTGAGCTGCTAAAATCTGAACTGTTTCCTCCAGCTTTTTGAACACCACGTTGGCTCTTTCCTGTGCATCTCCGGTTTTTCAACATAATTTTAAAGATCTGGACACCAGAACTGAACTTGTAATTCCACTTTTGCTCACGTTATTTTTCTGAAAGGAAGAAATATGTCAGGGGAGTGTGCTATCCCTCCTTGCCATGGCACTGTGCTGAGAGGACAGGCACACATGCTCACGCACACTCACTGCTGGAGCCTGCTGACAGGTTCAGGCTTGTGGCACTCTGGATGCAGGCTTTCATTTCAGAGGTATGGCCAGAACTTTTCATCCAGTGATTTTCAGTTTTACATTTGTATATTGTGCATTTATTTTTTTTTTTCCCCAGTGGTAGAGGACTGCTATGTTTTGGTTTGTTCTATTCCATTGGCCTCAAGTTGCAGTGATTCGGATCTCTATGTATAACCATGCCGTCCTCGTTATTCATTTTTCTGCCAGTCTAAGTTATCACCTGCAAATTTTGAAATGTTTATTTCCATCATTGATGATTTACACTCTGGAACATCACTCTAAATATTGTGATATAATGGTATTTTCCTGTTTACAGGTACTTTGGAGACCTGTCAGGTAGCCCAAACATTGATCCTATACCTTACGGAATGGCATAGCTGAGGGTGTAATTTAGGACACTGAAGACAAAAGTAGTGGAGTTTGGCAAGATGAGCAGGGAGTAGATCTCTTAATGTTCAGGCTATTTACATGTGTGGTTTGTTCCATTCTGTTTCCAAGTCTGTACTGAATGTGCCATTCTTTATGTCTGAAATAGTAGCAGAATAACCTGCTGGTTACTAAGGTAATGAGAACCCACTGTTCCCTTACTGATTCATGTAAATAAAGTATGGAATTTAATTTCACTCTGTGTTACCTGAGGCAGCTCTGGCATCTGATAAAACAAATGATCTTCACATTCTTCTCTGCTTCCCTTCTGATTTTCATTGAAAGACCAAGATGTTTCCTTTTCTGTAAATAAATGAGGCTGCCCTGCAGATGGGGTGGCAGAAAGGAGCCTAAGAATTACATTCTTTGTCTTGCAGCTGTTTTTCCTCTGTGACACAAAATGTATTTGTCTTCCTGTCTAAACGCCTCTGTTTCATGTGGTCGGGATTGAACATTTGACACCCATAAGAGTTCCCGGTTTTATTTTTCTCTTGATGCATAACTTGCACATTTAGTGTCTGTTGTGCTGTGTATTGCAGGCATAGCATGAGTGTGAATCCCAGATTAATTTCTTAATTGAAGGAAGGTTCCTTTCTGATTGTGGATCACAAAGCAATATGGTAAACCCAGGAATTTGCAAATGCAGAACACCAGCAGATGAGTGGGCGAGATGCTTATCTGGTGAAACGATTCTTGACAAGAATTGTCACCGGCCTTGGGAGCGCAGGCAGCGAGCAAGAAATCCAAAGGAGCTCTGACCGCTGTGCAACCAGGCAACACTACACCCCAGACCATCCTGACTTTGTGATGGAAAAAGAGAATCCGTATCAGGCTACTCAGCAGCTAATCAATCACCCGAGTCCACCAGGCTGGGCATGGAAGATTGTCTTTCTTACGTACGCGAGGAGGAAGAAGAAACAGCTGGGGTGTGGGATGGAGTTGTGCTTGAAGTGAGGGCATCTATCGTAAGAGAAAGGCAGCCTGTTACGCTGCGTTATGGGCCTGCAGAATACTGTTCCTGCTTTTTTATGCTACAAATCGTGAACAAAATATCTTAGCCGTGTTAAAGTGATATCAAGTCATGGGTCACTTGCAAATATAAGTTGCCCCAAGTAGGGTATTTTAGCCTAGTAGCTATTTGTATATCAAGACTTTATATTCCAATAGCCTACCTGCTCAGAGAAGCAGATCAGGGAGATGAAGTGGACAGCTGGCATAATATATGGACACTTGGACCCAGAAACGAAAACACAGCTGCGGGATCTAATTTTAAACATAGGTCTTGGTCAGATCCCTCTAGATCCTGGTTGCCGTGCTACAGCAAAGTCATTAGTGGGAGTAGAGAGGCGTGAAGTTCGAGATATTGGTAAAAAGCTTTTGTGAGAAGGGGCGTCACCCTTGTTCCAGTTATGGTATTTCCATTTTTCACGGTAAGTATTGTCAACTTATAGAAAATGTGAGTGGAAATTGTTTCTGGCTGGTACATGGTCTAGCACTGCTTACACCAGCAGCTTTTCTGGGTGGTCTTACTGGGCAGTGGGACTCGCTGTCCTGAAGGCACAAGGGCAGGCAACAGTGTTTCAAATGAGGAAACCATGTAACAAAGTGGGGGTTTTTCTAATATTTTAAAATAATATATGGTTACGGTATCAGTCACAAGATGATAATTCCGAGTTTTTACATCAGGTGTCAGGAATGCAACTGGCATTAGCAGCGATCTGGAGTGCCATCTAGTGGGGCTCTGCAAATCTAGCTTGCCTTTTTTTTTTTTTTTTTTTTTTTTTTTTTTTTTTTTTTGTCAACACAACAACA